ATACCTTTACCTATTAGTTACTATGTCAAAATTATCTTTATAATTAATAGGTTTTTAAACATATAGGTTGGTAGTAAATTTAAGTCCAAAATTTTTTTATTAACTTATAACTCCAAAAAGGCCAGTCTGAGCAAAATGAATCATCTCAGTTTTGGCCTTATTTCTATGCTGATCTCTATATTTTCCCCAAATGATAATTGTTTGTTATAAGAAAACACAACTTGTTACTTTTTTTAACCATTATAATCTCATCAAGCACTAACGAAATTATTTCTTCAGACATATCGCCTTGTGAATGAAGAGCGGAAGAATATTATGCTTCTTTTATCTATAGTTTAGGTAAAGAACAACATAAACTACATTTAAGTGTGATTTGCAAATTTTATCATGTTGCTTTATTGAACCATCTTTTTCAACTTTGGGGCACGGGGATCTCCAAGATGGATTCAGTCATTGCACAGTTCAGGCTTTCAAAAACCATCTGCTATTTTGTGAAGTTTATGTTCTAAAACATTTCTGAAAGTATCTTTATTGTAGATACCATAGAAAGCCTCTTTCAGCTTCTGGTCTACCTTTTTCTAACAGGAAAAATTGGAACGTCAAAAAACCGCATTTCCCTGACTCATTTGCAGCATATTTAATTCCACCAAATAGATGTACCTAGAGGAGATTGAAAAGCAGAAATGCTTTGGTAAACAAAGGTCACTTTATTGTAAGTTACTGAGGCTGGCCTCAACGTTTTCATTGTCTAGCCTGTGGGTGTTAAAAGGAGGCAGTGGAGACAGTTTTGATGAATGAAGCAGCTTACTGACCATTGATGTGCATGATACTCAATAATACAGCACCAGCTCCTTAATTTTAACTCTTCTAGTCCTTTCAACAATTTTGCGTGCATCCATTTTTCTATATAGAAGCCCTTATGCTTGTATGAAGTATGGTGTTTTTATATGTCTAGCACTGAAGTCTGCTACACACATAGGGAGGTGCATTTGAAAAGTTTCTATTTCTTCTCTTGATTGCTTTTTTTCATAGTATTTTTCAGGCTAAAACATACTTAATAATATTGTAAAATAACCTTTTTTTTCTTTTCACACAATTCTTTTAAATGGCAGATACTTGTTTATTTTTTCCACCATGGACTATTTCAAAAATATAAAAAATAAGAGATTATTATAATAAACCCTGATGCACCAATTGCCCCATTTCAACTATTATTAATTGATGGGTTGGCAATGTTATATCATGTAAAATCCCATCCACTATTCTCTAACATAGGTAATTATTAGCAAAGTGTGATTTACCAGTTTCATGCAATAGAGGTTCATTAAATTCACAAAAGAATTTATGCTCAAGGTTCCTTTAAATCTACATAATAAAAATATAAATGTAATAAAATATAACAATATACTATAACATAAATAAATGTGTATGTTATATTAACATAAATAATTAAAAATTAATATAAATATAATAAAATATCGTAAAAACTGATATATTAAATAAGCATCTGGCATATCATATGCCTTGTCAATGTGCTACTATTTGGGACTAGAGTAGTAATAGCATATGTTTTGACATTTCTCTATTTTAGGAAGACATGACATATGTGCCCTTAGCTCTATAAGATTTCAGGTCATTAACAATTTCTCTCATTATCTCAAGAAATTTTTACTACTTTCACAAGTTTCAAACTGACTTCTTTTAAAACACATTGCTCTAACATAAAAATATATTAGGAAAATTATTAAACTTGAAAGAAAGATAGAAGTTAAAAACTAGTACTGATTAAACATGTCTGTCTCTCACATACAAACACATACACATAATTTTAGCTTTGGGGACTAAGTGATTATAAATTGAACTGATTTATAAGAGCCAACAGCATTTTGTGTATTCAAAAGTAAAAATGACAGACAAATAGAAACTTGTTACAAGAAGGACAAACTTGTTTTTCAACACAAGCTGAGCAGCCCTTGCCCAGATGTGCTGAGCAATCACCCAATTCAGTCTCTGCTTCACTGGATGAGCACTGGCCTTGGAGGAAGTGATATTGGCATAATCAATTATCTTACCAGTGATGCACAACCTCACCTTAACATGACTGCTGGGCTAATAGCACAGGTCTCCCAGGAGCATCGTAATATTAGATTTTCCCATCACTCACTGCACATGAACACATTTTGCCTTTCCTCTCAAAAACTAAAACCAAAACAACCACCACACAGACACCATTGAGTTTTGCCAAAAGTTTTTTTCTGCTTTGCATACATATTATAAATACTTTGAAGATTATAACTCAAAACTTTCTTGTGAAAATATTTTTGTAAAACTGATGGTCTAGGAAGAAGAACCTTGTTTTTCTTAGCACCCACTCATGTAACTGTTAAAGACACACTGACCCAAAAAACAACTAGTTTCTCAGTAACATCATATAATCAGAACTGTGGTTTTCCATTCTTATTATATATATATAATATGTATATTCATTCAACAAGGCACATAAAAATGTTCATCAAGGTAAATAAAGCTTTGAATAAAACCAAATGAGCAAATGTTCAATAATGTAATAGCCTGTAAAATAAGAGAAATTCAAATGCAAAATAATTGGCAATCAACTCCCAGATCCACAAAATATCTGGCTATCTCTCACCGGATATTTCATGAGCCATGCAACCATGCAATTCAATGTCATACAATATTTTTACCCCACTTATAGCATGATGTCAGGATTTTCTGAAATTTCTGTTTGCTACTAAGAGCAATTGATGTCTAGTTTGGCATCTTATAATCTCCTTTCTCAGGGTCCTTTACTACCAGCCTCTCTCCGTCCTCACCTGTTATCACTTTCTAAGTGAAGTGTTTCACCTTTGCCATCCAGCCAGGACTGCTCTCCCCAGACAATGTCCTATCTTAAAAATTTCACTTCAACCTCTTTGTCAGACAAGCTTACCTACTGACTCATTTTCCAGGCTATTGTTTTCAGCTTATTATTGTACAGAAAAGATCTGGAAATCTCACTCACTTTAAGTGTTAACATCTGAGAGGAATTAGTCTGTTACCCCAACAGGCTCGAAGATTTTCATTTTAATAGAAGACAATTCCTTCTATTCAACTCAAAGGAATTGCAATATCTCTAATGGCGGAATTTTAAACATCACTGACACCAGTGGAGGAAATATTTGGGGTAAGAATACTTATCACCAAACCATAATACTTGAGGTGACTGTATTTTTTACTACCTAGACTTAAGCTGAACTTAAATAGAAGCAAATGCTCATGATTGAAGAAGAATAAAAACAGAACTAAATTTAAAGCAAAAATCTAAGCTGTTGAACAACCTTATTTCTTAATGGGATGCATTATTCTCTCCCATCTTTTTTCTTTCCGAAGTGATACTAGTCTATGTGTCGCTTTTCACTTTCATTACGTCTTTACCAATACGTCCTAAAGTTCCCCTCAGCTATTCTAAGCTTAAGACGGTCTTGGTCCTGAACGTAAGCTCCTGATCTCCCTTTCCTTAGAAAATTTCATGTAGAAAACTTATAATTTTAAATTATTTCTCTGCTCCTTTGAGATATCAATCTTTTTGAAAACTTCTTTCCAGTTTTACAACACAGGAGTGTCTTTCTTAGGGATCTGGGAATCATTCCTTTGAAATGTAATCATCAAGAAAGACAGTACCTTTATTTGACAGTTTTTGTGGGAGGGGAAGAACCTAACTCTTTTGTGTGCCTTGCTTCAAGTTGGAATACTACAATACATTCCTGTCATGAAGGTAAGAGAAGGATTACTTTTATTTTGAGTAAGGTTAATTAACAATGGCCTAAATTCCTGTTCCCCCCATCTCATTTCATCTCTCAAAAACTCTCCTTTTTTATGTTTCAGTGGAATTTCTGAATCATTCAGAAGTTTCCCTTCAGAATAAGTTCTGGTCTGCTGCCCCGATTGCAATAGCTTTGGATAAAGTCTTAATTGCCTGTTTAACTTTATCCAGTACAATTTTTTTATTTGACATTTGTGCATAGGCACATTTAAATATCTATATCCAACTAGTTTAATTTGCCCCAAGATTATTTTATTTTTTATTAGGCAAATAATTTTATTAACCTTTGTTTCAAACTTTATTCCCAGGCTTCTTCAGCTTAATTAGCTATGATGATTTGTGTAGAAGCAAAAACTGAAAAGAGCTGCAGCATCCAAGGGGCTAAGGCTTAAAAATATTAGAGATGTAGATTTTATCACATCCATAAACAAAATTTGAAAAAAGCATAATATAAATTTGAAAAAGTCATAATATAAAATAGCAGCTCCCATTAACTTCTTCAAGTTTTTGTTCTTCAGAAGTTGACTCAATTCAGTTTGCTTCATTTTTGGAAGCTTCATCAAAATTCTCCTTAAAATCTAGAACTTCTTCATCACCACCCTCTCCTGCAGCAAGTGGTGCTTTTCTACCCACAGGTTGTTTGGGCAGAGCTTCAGCCAGTCTCCTTAAACTAATCGGACTGTCTGCACCAAGCTGATTTAAGATGCTGACTAGCATTTATGTCAGCGGCTTTGTCTCAGCATGGCCTGTAATGGTGAAAGCGTTCGCTGCCAGAGATGCCTGAACACTGTTCCTTGGTTTGTGAACATATTTACTTCTTCAATACCGGAAATATTGTTCACCCCTAACTTCTTTACAGAGAACTGAAGTTTTTCATCATCTGCTGTAGCTGTTCTGTGAACCACCTTCTTCTTTCTATGAGCAGTTCCTTTCCCACCAGTGAGCTCTTCTGCCTGCAGTTTGGCGAATTTGTCTCGGTTCGTAATATATTCTTTCATCTTGTTTAGGGGAAAAACAGGCCTCACGGGGACTAGGGTTGGGGCTCAGGGGGTCTTTGGCAAAATAGCTGAGAATGAGAGTGCACACATAGGGATGCAAGATGGCAGCTAGAGTACCCCAAGATTCTTTTAAACATCCTAAACATAATATAACTAAGGAAACAAAGAAAATATAATACCTTTTTTTTTCACATCAGTAGTAGTTTCCTTCTCAGTTTTCTTTTTGACATCTTCTTTTTCTGGTAGTAAAATGAGAAAAGTATAAGCCTCTACCTGTTTAATTCTTACATATCAGGGTATACATGACTACCGTTAAGGTGTTCAGTTCTTCTTGTATAGAGTAATCCTAAGTCAGAGCCATAAATCATGTCAAATATGAGTGAACTGCCACCTTCATTACAGAACGGTGATTTTGGTGTGCTTTGTCATCAGAAAGGAGCACATTTTTGCTAAGGTCAACAGTCTTTAATGATAGTAGGAAACATTAAATGGCATTATTAATTACTGTTAAATTTAATCTTCTAAAGGATTTTAATAGGAATATACTGAATGCTCCCTGGGCTATCAGGAGACTAAAAGGCACATCACAAACTCAGAAATGTCTGAGGGTCACTTGGGACTTCAGATGCACTGTATGAAAACAACCATCTAAAAAAAAACAAAACATGGTAAACTAATCAATTAGTTTCTTCCCAATATATTAAATTATTTGTTCTTTTGAAAGACATTTTGTATTAAACCAAATGAAATAAATAGTAGTCATTGTATTCATATGCATTGTCAAGTAAAGTACCGAATTAGACTTAAACAGCTACTCCTAAGAAAAAGAATAATCAGTAACAGGTTTTAAAAAGTGTTTAGGCTTGAATTTTTTTTAAATCTATAAATTTCAACTTTACTTGGAATATTTAAAAGTCTCAAGAGTGTTTGTTACTAACAACAACAATAAATAATTAAGTAAATTTCTTTCCTAGAATATAATAACATTACCAGTAGCATCATAAATGGATACTAATTGATTTATGTGTTGGATGGTTTTTAAATTCTTTACCTTTCTTTTTTGTTTCAGAAGTCACTTTCTTCTCAGCTTTCTTCTTTTCCCCTTCTTTTTCTAGAGGTAGAAAGTAAAATATTTCCTTTACAAAAATTTAGTACAAAAGAAAAACTAAGATTAGAAGGAAGGATTACTGTTAAACCAATTCTGCCTCCAGATAGCTTTGTGACTTTGAGCAAGTGATTTAATCTTGCTAAGCCTTATTTTCCTCATTTGTAAGATAATAATACCTTCCTCAAAGTTAGATAATGTTACAAAGCACGCTGCATAGTGCCTGGTTCATAGTAAATGCATGACATTGTAGGCTGTTAATATCGTTTACAACTAATAAACAAGATAGCTTGAGCTTCCTGAACTAAACAATTATCTAGGGCCTAAAGCGAAATAGTAATACATGAAATTAAAATATATTTCCTGAAGGGAGATACAGGTAAGCTAAAAGAATTATTTTTTGTTACCTTTTCATATGTTCAGCTTTATTAGAAATAATACACGAAGCCATTAACAATATCTATTTTGGTTTAACTGTTTTTCAAATCTGCCTCTTGTCAACAGGCATTTGGAGCCTGGTGACATTTGTCTGGCAGTGTATCGGGGACATAACTTCCACTGCCCTTTCTGAGTGGTTGTATCAGCAAGAGTGCTCAGACCATTTTTGCACCCAGAAGTTGCAGGAAGTCTGGATACCACATAGAATAGTATGTATTGTCTGTAGACTTCATGAAATAGTTCTGTTTCAGAGATCTGAGATAGCCTCGCTCTGAGAGGCAAATGGAACCTCAAATGCCCAGCCATAGCCATGTAACAATTGGACATCCCTGGCCTCTTTTCTGGTAAGTGCACTCATTTCAAATAACAAAGCTATGTAAAAGTATAGGAGTTGTTGAAATAGATTGCTCATTTCTTTTAGGTTTGAGGCAAGTGTAAGTACAGTTACTGTTGGAAATCAATTGATTCTTATCTTCAGTTGGTAGTGTTCTTTATCTTATGTTGGAAATATTTTTCCCTTTGTCATTTGTCTTTTAAGTATAGCTGCTAAGCAGTCAAAGATTTTCATTACCCAAGACTATTATGAGATTATTACCATGCTGAAGAAATTCAATGAATAGTTCTAGTGTGAATGCTTGTCTACTAATGACTGCATCTTATTAAATATTGGAATTAATTCATTCCCTTAGGTGTCTTTTTACCTACAAGATCAAAGACAACACTTTCTTTCAGCCTTAGAAGTATAATTTATAAAGAACTCCTTTTCATGACTCCTAGAATTATGTTAGTGTCTAAAGGAGAAGCATATTCACACTCTGTCTAAGTGTGTCTACAATGTACCATCAAAGATCATCCAATCAGAGGTAGAAAGTCAAGAAGTCAAACTCCGATAGTTCCAGAGTTAGAAATAAACCAGTTGAACTTCACTTTGCCATTTCTTAAAGGTTCATACATATTAAATATGGAAACTATATTTAAAATTCTGAATAAAAGATTCTTTTGATTTAAGTATTATTCTTTCCAGCTTCTCAGGGACAATTTTATGTAGGAGGGCATTTCCATCTTATTAAAATAAACACGTGTCAGGTCATTGGATTGGCATTTGCTAAACATCACCTTCTGATGACATGCACCATAAAAGGGATTAATTCAAATACAGAATATTTGTAAATACTCTTAATGTATATCAAAAATCAATGCCATAGTCACAATAAAATCACAACTCACTATCCGAGTCTTTAAGTTTAATAATGTAGATGAAGAAATATTTCACTTAAAAATTTGTGTCAATTAGTCATTCTTATAAAGTAAACCTCAGAATAAAAGTAGATGTTTGAGGTCATAAGATGGAAGACATTTTTTTCATTTTTTTAAAAAGAATGCTCTTGTACAGTAAATTATACCTTTAAATGAATATATCTGGAGTTTTATTGTGGTGATACAGTATTCTTGCCTTAGTCCATATTGAGTTAATGCTTCCATTACACACTCTGCCTATGATTATGGCCATACACTGTGAGAGTCATGAATAAGAGCACAAGTCCACAAAAAGCAGCTATAAATAATGTACTTTAATAACATTTTTATGAAGTAGACCTTTAAGCTGTCATTATGGAACGTACTTTATTCATGGTGAATTCAGTTAAAACATCAACTTCTAAAGATTCTGCATTTCTTCAAGCACTATTGTCTCTATTCTTCAGGTGTTTTGGCAGCACTGGAATTTGGTTTTTCATTTATAAAAGACACAACAATTTAATTATATCCTGTATGAATATAAAAATAACCCATGTTTCTTTTATGAAATCTCTCCTTCCCCTGACTTTTGTCTCCTTCGGCAGCCAATACTCTTCCCTTTCCATCTGCTATGCACCCACTCATCCAATTTTCCCTTCACTCTCCTCCAATTGTTTGCCCTTTTGTTTGTAACAAGCTAGAGAAGAGTGAGAACATTTAATATCTTAGGTTTTCAGAAGATCTGCAACTCAGTGTCTGTAGAATGTGAATTTATCAGTATATTGCCTTCCTTTGGTAAAAGTGTCATAAGCTCTGAAATGATGGCTCTCTCTGGCAGAGATCACAGGGAAGACTGGTTGGGAGAGAAATCTTCTCCACAATGGGCAGCTCAGAGCCACAAATACATTATTAACTTTTGCATAAATTAACATCAGATGAAAGAAAAATTAAAATCTCACTTTTTTACTTTCTAAGCCCTTACAAAGGGCTTTTTTCTTTCTTTTAAATGTGTTTATGCCATCTCAAAGCCAGAGAATACACAATAGTTAATTATAATTGCAAAGCTTTCTAAGATGCTTGCTCCTAGCAAACCAAGAAAACAAATGCAAAGGTTTCATTTGCATCTTGTATTTTGTTCTTCCCTCTTTGCCTTTCCAGTGTAGAGATTATCCAAATTTTATATATCATATGGATGCTTTTCTTTTAATCCTCTATTGCCATGATTGATGTACTCTTGGTCCTAATCATGTAAATAGAGGCATGTTTCTTCCCTAACAATGCATTCCAACATACCTTGCTACCGTCACCCTTTCTCTAGAGTGTCAGAGATTGGCTTGGAATCCCACTCACTACCATGATCATGGAACATTTCATATAAGCAGATAAGCTCAATTACATCATTTGTTATTAGAATTCTTCATTGTTATCTACAGAGGGTCATGAGGCATGAGACAAAGCACGGTGCTAGTATAGGTGACCTTGGTCTAAATTCTGTTTCTGACCCTTTTTAACTTTTGTGTGATACTGACAATGTGCTGTGACATGCTGAATTTAATTTTCTTTGTTTGAATAATGGGACTAATAAAAGCTACCTTGCTGGCTTGTGAGGAATGGAGAAGTGCTTAGACCAGAATGGATGTTCAAAAATAATGATTGCAACAATTATAGCTTTTAGTATATTTTAGAACAATAAAGACATTATTTCATATAATCTTCATTAACTTTTCTAGGTGTGGTATTTTTTGAACTATTGAGTAAATACACATTAATTCTTATGATTCTGTATAGAGGGAAGCTATGTTTGGAATATTCTGTATTGAGAAACTTTAGGATAAAAGTACTTAAAGTAAGACAACATGTTGTGAAGGGGTACTATACTGGAATAAAGAAGTGGATTCCAGACTCAGTTTTGCTATAATTAGTATACACTGCCTTATGCAACTGTGAGTAAATTTTCTGACTTCCACCATCAAAGGCAGGGGAATGAATAAAGTGTATTTAATCCTTATTTTTTTATTTACTCACTCTCCAAATGAAGCATGCGTCATCTTGCACTTATTTCTTAATATTGCTGGGAACAGGTAATTTAAAAAGTTTTAGAGTTGTAAATAGCTATTGTATGCTTTCTGTCTTTGTTATGGCTTAACATTTTTTTTTCATCTAGAGAAAAGTCTGCTTTTAAGGCTTAAAATGAATATATGCACATATTCATGTATATGTGAATATGTACATATGTATAAATAATGTTAGGTGTTAATAAGGGTGGGGGCATGAAACTTGGTTTAGAGGATTAGAATATGAGCAGGTGAGAGACAGCATTGCCTTTTTTTTTTTTTTAAGGTGGAACATGCGTAAATTTCCTAAATGGGTAAGATTTGAAAAGATTCTTGAAAAAAGTGGAAAAGCTTTGGGGCCATGAGAAGAATTATCTGGCAGAAAAAAAAAAAAAGTCTGCCAAGACCTTGAAACGAGAGCCTTCTAGATATTCAAAGGAGAACCTGGGGACCAGTGGCTGGAATAGCGGTGCAGAAGGAGAGTGGTAAGAGATGTGCCAGGGATGGAGCAGAGGCCGAGCACAGAGAATCATGTTGTTCACATTGTGAATTTTTCATTTTATGTGAGTAAGATAGAACAGCACTGAGAAAGTTCAAGCAAAGAAATGTGATGATGAGTTATATTTTAAGAGGAACTTTGGCTGTTGCTGGACGGTGTGAGGTGCTCCTTTGATTTTGTGATCATATTTAAGGAAGAAGACAAAAAAAAGTAAAATAATTTAGTACAAGTATTCTTTCCATTTTTCTCTCTTTTTTCCTTCATAATTTCACCAGAATTTTGTTTGGGATTTTTGAACTATAGAACAGTGGTAGGAGTACTTCCCTTAACATTGTAATTAGGTTATTATGACAGCAAAGCTCTCTAAATTAAGGACTCACTTGAGTTATCTGGCATAGCTAAGCAGGCCTTTCAAGCTGAAATCCACTGTCTTTGCCTTGACTTTTAGTGGTAACTAAATTATTCTTAGAAGTCAGCACTTCTCATTATTAGCTATTTAACAACAAATAGCCCACAACCAGCAATTCAATAGCGCATTTCAGTGATTACCCAGAGACTTTTACATATATAGTTTATTTCCTTCATCAACAAATGTTTATTTAGCCTGATGGCAAACCCCTTGCCAGGGTCTAGAGTTTAAAAGATTCCCTCCAGGAACTCCAGGTAAGAAACTAAAAAGTGAGAAAGTTTACAATTACCACAAGGACTTTGAGGGACATAAAAAGTAGTATCAAAAGGGTCCAGCAGAAAGTCCTAAATGCAAAAAGACAAAGTGAAAG